GTCCCATCAGCCCAGTCGGGGGTTGTATCGGTACCAGAAACGGGTAGGCCAGGCTTCGAGAGCCTCTCGAGGGTCGACCTTTCAGCCAATATAGTAGTATTACCCTAGAGAAGAGCTTTTGTATTGGGGGCCAATGACTTAATATGTGAATCTTTTTGTTGTTGACCAATGTACTGTTGGATGCTGAGACATCATGATTATGTGTTGCATATATATATATATATATATATTGTTTTTTGTTTATCCTCATGTATTGGGGGCACGCAGTGAATCTCGAACTCTCTTTTATATATATGTAGTAAGAAGTTGTTAACGGGATCGATGATCCTAATGTTGTTGTGTGTTTGGTATTAAATTATGAGGTAGTTATGTGATGACCCGTGAGCCTTGTTCAATTTGGAAGTTGTTTGTTGAGAACAGGGATCCATGAGTTATTGTGATTGGTGTGGTGGTATCGTAAGGGTCAAGTTATAAGACTTTGGATGTGTTGAGTTTAAGGGAATATGAGGCTTTAGAGTTTTGTGGTATTGGCGAAGTTATGTGAGAATGTCTAAGGGAGTGTGGGATTTGTATTTCGGGTTAGTGAGAACGGTACTGGTGTGTTGTTTAGTGTTTTGGGTTTTGTTGGTTAGTGAGTTCGTTGTGATTCTATCAATCATGAATAGGGGTAATGTTCATGCTGTGATTTGTTATAAGTTGGTAATTATGTATAGGTGAAATGGGTTAGTGGCGTTATTAGATATTGAGTGGAGTTTATGAGTGTGAGGAGAATTTCGTGAGTAGATGCTAGAAGTATTCCTTAGAAGGAAGAGCAGTTTGTGTTCTCGGGTAATGAGGGTAGCGTTGGTCGAAATTGTTTTATGTATTAAGGTTTGTGTGATTGTCATTGACCATGTCAGTCTTGTGTTTGAGATGTAAAGTCATGCTTACTATGATGTCCTTAGGAACAATGATGGTATGGTTTGATCTTGAGGAATTCAGTGAGATTCAAAAATATGGGGGATTGTGTATGGAACTCCATTTTTGGAGTAAATGGTGTTGACTAGCAAATCAGTGTTTGGTGCCGAGTGTAGAAGTTTATCGAGTTGACTGGTCAGCTTGTTGATATCAGGTTTTGGTTGACAAGTAGTCACCTTGAGGAAAGCTTGGGCTTGTGTATAAAGGTTGATAGGTTATGGATGCCCTGGAATGATATTGCGAGCGTTGAGTCTCGTGTATGTGGTTGGGAAGCTTGTGTGAGACTTGTTTTGGATTAGTGAAAAACCCCGGGTTGGGGTAACGTGTTGTAGATTCTTCGTTTGTGTATGTATTTGGCTCGTATAGTTGATAATTTATGATAATGATTATAACATAATGAAATTGCAAAATCGTGGATTTTTTTGTGCCTTATTGTGTTGATAGGACAGTTTTATTTTCTATTGACTACTATTACAGAAATGTTACGTTTTTTGTTGGTTATGGTATCACCATATGAGTGATGGGTATTGTTGGGTGACGGTAGAGGTTCACCGATTTTTATATTGGAATGGAATTGGAAAATGAATTTTTCCTAGTGTTACGGCCTTCTAATGGCTTTGTTAAAATAGAAATGTTAAGGATTTGATTTAATTTAAATGGTATGAGGAATTTCAATGAGTAATCTTTGGTAATTAAATTATGGATGGTTATGCGTTATGGGTAATACCTTGTTTATGAAAAATATTTACAAAACTTTTAAGTTTCACATGGAAAATGCAGAAATATATTTTGATTATGAACGGCGAAAATTTGAGCATCTTGTAGACACCCCATTTTTGACCGACCTTAAGACTCAGACGTCATCGATTGAGCGCTCGGTGATGGTGCATGTTGTGCTCGTTTCGAGTCTCCGGAGTTTTGGCTGAGAGCCTTGCCTCCGGGCCTCTGAACTCTTTTGTGCTTCGGCTCGGTTTGTGAACCGAATCTTGTTTTCTCTTCCTAGAGGGAGGGAGAGGTCTTGTAGACAATCTCTTTGTGGTCGTAGGCCACTTTTCCCGTTTGGAGACTAGTTTTCGGTTTTTAAAGCCTTTGGCCGCGCACCTTGTCTCGGGATCGCTCAACGTTCTCCGTTTGGCGTGATTTTTGAACCACACCTTGTTGCCTCTGCCTAGAGGGACACTGTGGTCCGGGAGACCACTTTTGTGGCTGCATACCACTTTTGATGTTCGTAGACTAGTTTTCGAGGCTTTCGGCTGCGTGCTTTACCTCTTTATCTTTCGTCTTGCATCCGCTTTGGTTTTTTTTTGGTACAAACCTTATTTTCCTTGTTTGGAAGGTGGTCCAAGGGTGGGAGACCAGTATTTCTCCTACCCGACCACTTCTTTCTCCGCTAGCCAGTTTTCTAGTCAAACAACTGGCTTTCTTGGTCTTTGGGGCATCTTTTCTGGTCGGCCGCGCCACCACTGCATTGTTTTTA